CTTACCAAGCTGGAAAGATGCCTAGTTTTTCCCTGCCTTTTTCCTCTTGTAGCTGATCACTCACTTGTGTTTTGCTGGTTTTACTCTAACTCAGTGGTTTTCAAACTTAAGGGTGCATGAGAGTGACCTGAAGGGCTTGTTGAAAACACAAATTACTGGGCCTTACTCCCAGAGTTTCTAATTCACTAGGTCTGGAGTGGGGCCTGAGCGTCTGCGTTTCTAGCAGTTCCCTGATGGTGCTGTGGTTGCTGGTCTGGGACCATACGCTAAGGACTGCTGCTCTAAATATTTTGATCCACTTCTTTCCATCTCACTACTGTTGCTCTGTTCAGACTCTCATCTCCTCTTTTGCCTGGCCCGAGGCAACAGTCTTCTGACTTACCTTCCTTCCTCTACTTTAGTGCTTCTCAAATGCTTTCTCCTCTAGTTTAGTGCTTCCCAGGTACATTCTGTAGTAGATGCTAGAGGGATCTATCTAAAATGCAGTCTTCAGAGCTGCAGCGGCAGCCTGCCTACATCAGTCACTTCCGGACTCTCAAATTCCTGACTAGTACAAAAGGTACAGTCTTGCAGAGATCAACACAGAGTTGCCAATTTTTATTTTGTTTCATGAAAACATTAAAAACCAAAAACCAGAAACCAAACTGCCATTTACTACCCTCATTTTGTAAAAATAACTTTTTAACAACAAAATAAGAAGAACATGATCTCAGAAAAAGAGTAAGTCTTTAAATTGAATACACTTAGTTTTATTAAAAAACTTATGTGGCCCTTATTTTTTCTCATTTTTGCCCCAGATGAGAGAAATCCTTGCCCTAGGGACCAATGTAAGGACACCAATAGCCTGCAAGATGAAGTCCGACTCTTCATCATATCAAATCATGCCCTCCACTGTCTCCCTCCTGCCTCCTTTGAGTCCTGCATCACTTTCTTCTTAACTCTGAACTGCCTGGGATTCTCCCGCCTGAGGTGTCTCTCACCTCTGTGCCTTCATTTCTGCTGTTACCCTGTATTGGACTTGCTCTCCTACTCATTGTCTACTTACTCTTTAAGAGCTCAGCTCCAGTATCTCTTTTTTCAAGGATGAAGACTTGGTTACCTAATACCTCCCCTCCCAGAGGTTTTACCTGTTTTTTCATAATCTCATATTAATCATTTCACTTATTTCTTTAGAAATTTCTTTTGCTTTTTGTTCTCTCCGTGCCCCCACCCTTTCAGAATGGCAGCTCCTTTGTGATTGGAACTTTCTCCTAACAGATAAGAGATTTTTACTGAATGAATGAATGAATTAGTGAATTCACTGAAATAGTAATAAAAGCAACACTAATACCTCAACAGAAGTTAGAATATCATCTAAAAAGGGGAAGAAATGAAAGTTCGTTTTGTTCAGAAAATAATTCATAAAAAATACAAATATTCTTAAAAAGTTTCTGCATTTTACTTAGTTTTATCATAAAATATGCCATTTTTCCCTATGAAAATAAATTTTATTCCTGTAAATGTACTATTTTTTTCTATTTCCAGGACCAAGCTTGTGTCCATGTCCTTGGTTTTAAATGTTTCATATCAATTTCTCTTTTTCTATCTGAGTGCTCCTTTCAACAAAGTATAATTTCTGTGTGCACCAGCTGTAGTGACTTTGAGGCTTTATTAGGTAAGCAAGCTCTCGGCTCTGAGTACTCATCCTGGTTCAGAAAGCCTGGATTTTTTTTTATCAACCTTTTTTTAAAATTGGTTATTGCCGCTCTTTTATCTTCTGATCTAATTCATATTTGTTTTATTTCCTTGAAGTTATTACACATGCAGTCGTGAATACTTGTCTCTAGAGGCTGTGTTCATGGACTCACCGAACAGTTTCATATTATCTTTTAGTACTTCGTAGTTTAGTTAGTATTTCAGGTTTGTCTCTGAAGTTTAATTAAACAATACATTGCTTGTTATTCTGCAGTCCCAATCTCAGCATCATTTGGTAGTATTCCGACCGAAGTGGAGTTTTCACTCCGCTTTGCTAAGTATCTGGAAGAATTCCCTTTGTATTGACTGAAAGACCGTCTTTTTTTGACAGCCACAGTTTCAGTGTGAATGGCTGTCAGGATTAAATAACCTTGCCAGAGATTTGTCAGCTGGTAAAATATTGTCCAGAGACAGACAAAGAAATGGGGTGTGACCTGTTTTCCAGAGAGGAATGTGAGAAAGAAGAGAGACTTTAGTAATTAGCCATCACTTGGAAAGAATATAGCCTCTGAGACCTTCCCACTTGTCAGATGCTAGTTTTCCTAAGCTGTGAGCATCCACAACACTTGGTACAGAAGCTATTATAGCACTTAATACATTGATTAGTACATGGTTTATAAGTCCCACTCTAGACTGTGAGTATTTCAGGGAAGTAACTGAAACTTATTTACGTATGATATCTAAGATCCTGGAACATGGTAGTAAATGTTTGGTAAATGTTTATTTATGGAGTCACTCCGGTTGATTTTAGGTTTTCTATAGTGATTAAAGATAGAATTTATACTAGCTTAAATAAAACTTAAAGTCAGACAGTGAATAAAGCAATACATTGAGCATCTGTTGTAGTCCAGAAGAACTGTATGGCACTCACAAATTAGAAGGCATATTCTTTCAGAGGATTTGTAATTTATTAGTGTATGCCTAGGTGTCAAGAAAAGTAAAATAAATAAATAAATAAAAGCAGCTGCTGACGTCTTCACTGATTTGAAGTTAAACACAGATCTGTAGCTGGTTTTGTAGCAGTGCTCGCTGGCCTGGCATAAGTAGAGAAAGCTAATGGTGGAGATGACTTAGGGATGTCCACCAGTCCCTGGCTAAGGAGAGAGTAAGGTGGGATAGCTGCTCATGCACTAAGGGTCTAGAGAGGAAGGGAGCTTCATGATTGGTTGTGGGTTTACAAGAGTTTTCATAAAGGAACAGAGAAATCCTTGGGATTTTAGTAGATCATTTCATACGTCTCAAGCATTTGAAAGAAATATTTTAAAGTAGTGTGAAGAAGGCTGTCTTTGGAGATGGGTTTTTCAATATTTTAGGTATTTATCACTTAGTGAAATGGTGGCTTTTCGAGCAGAAATAAAACTTCATTTTTGATTGTTTTAGTAAATTATATCTGTCTTTTCATTTAGTAATTTTCAGGTTGGTAGCACCCACCGAGGGATCACTAGGATGGGATATTCTTGAAGTTAAGCGCCTCCTTGATCACCAGGATAATATTCTTTCACTGGTTAATGTCAACGGTAAGCTTATTGTTTACTTATTTATATATTATGTAAAATTTTGTACGTGTTAAGGTACCTGTTCTAAACTTCAGTCTTGTTTTGTTCCAGATTCTAGAGTTACCATCATGAAAATAATGCTATTGATTAGTAGGTGTTGGCAGTCTCTTAACGCTGAGGTTTAAGCTAGTGGAACTAATCAAGTTTCATAGATTGGTAGGTCTAAGATTTAGGCACAAGGGGCAGAATAGAGTTGGGCAGAGAAAAGGGAGGATGGAGGAGAGAGCGTCTGATCTCAGGTGCTAGCCTTAGGATGAGTGTCATAGGCTATCAGTACTAATGCTCAGTGGCATTTTGGCATTTTTGGCAAATGATTCTGGCTAGTTTCTCTTTTGAAGACCACACAGTACAATATTATATAGCAGGTTATATAAACACTTAAAGTAGAATGAACTGGATTCAAGCCAGTTGTAATCGTGATTGAATACACAGGGAATAAAACCAAAGTAAAAGTCTGCAGAAAATGGGTCATATCAGCCCTTTCTCACAGTTGTGTGTTTTGATTTGCCAGACTTTCTATTTGGCTTTATAATGACTTGAATGAGTATCTTCTGTGAGCTCAATCTGACATCATAAGACGGGGTAGGATCAAAACCCCACAAATCCTCGGATTTAGCTGGTTCACTTTCAAATAAAGTGACACCTTATATCATCAGCACTCTCCTGGGTGATCTGTGTTCTGAGGTCAGATGGGAGGGCTCCTGGGTGGCTTCAGTTGGATAGTCTGGAGGAGACTATAAGAGGGTGCTGTAAGGATGCCATGAACATGAAATAGTAGGCATACTGGACTGTACCCCCTGACCTGAGATCTGGGTTGGCGCTTTTTGAGCAATACTTTGTATGAATGAGGCAGAAGAAAAGGGGCACAGACAATGCCAAGTGTAGTCTCCATTTGTTTGCCATTCAGTCACATTTTCAGATACATCAGTGAAAATACCCTTCCTAGCTCCAAAATCTTCCCCTCTATTAGCCATCTGCTTGTACAACCCAGCTGCAAGTCTTTCTGAGGTCTAGATTGTCTGTGGTGATAGAAATAACTACGTTGGGAGCACCTTTTTATTTTACTCTGAGAGCTCTTTTCCTCTAGCCAAGAATGGCAGCACAAAAGGCAAGTTCTCATTTGGAAGTCCCTCTGACACCGAGCCCTGCTCCTAGGCCCCGGAGCTGTTGAGAAAAGCACAGCCATGTTTTGGCTGTTACAATGGTCAGGCCTAGTTGTCCCGTCTTAGAAGTGAAGCGTTGGTACCATGACCCAGCGTGATTCCTTAAGGAAGGTGATGGGACGTTACTGAGGTAGCCTTAACTTTGTGGCACTTCTTTTGCTGTATGATGTACAGAGAAGCTTATAACAGTTTAACCAAGAAAGCCTTCTTCAAGTGTTTTCTTAGCCAGCTTCTTAAGGGAAGGAAAATGAAAAGTAAAGCAGGAAAAAATTTTTAATGAAAATTACAGTAAACCTCTAGTACTTTTTACTTTATGAACTCCCATGACTGTAAAATTATGCTACAGATAATAAATAAGCCAAAAGCGTACTTAGAAATCATATATGGACAAGTAGTCTGGCAAAA